TAAATTTGTTGAATTCTTTGATCATGTTTATGATTGTTCTTTTAAATTCCGTGTCCTGGGTTTTCTCTAGAGGGTTCTCCTTGTAGAACTCTTCTACCAGACTGGTGGAGTTTGGTGGGAACATGCTGTTTTGGTTTCCATATTATTTTTCCGTTGTGATTTTGGCATGTGGATTTCTTCTGTTGTTTGTGATTCTGGTATGAAACTCAAGCCTTCTTTTGTTGAGTTGAAGTTTGCTTCTGTTTGTATTATTGTTGTGCCTTAGTTGTTTTCTTATTGGGTATGTAAGGCTGGTTGGTCTAGGTTTCAGGTTCTCTCAGATTTATTTTAAAGGGAACTGATGGTTTCAGATCAACTATTCAGGCGCTCCCCGAAAGGCCCAAGCCAGTCAGGTACACTCAGGCTTCCTTCTAACACTTGGACCCCTACTAGCAGGTACTCACAGCACAATTTGGGAAGTTCCTAAGGGGAGGCTTGATTTTGGCACTCTCAGGCTATCTGCTGAGGTCTCAGCTCCTACACCAGGTGGAGGCTCTAAGGTTCAGCCTTACCCTGCTGTAGGGCAGAGAGGTAACCCTGGGGATGTGGGAGGGGCTTCACATAATCCCAGTAAGGGGGCTGGGTACGTGGTGATTTGGGGAAGCTCACCACCACATGGAGGCTGGATCCAGGTGCTCAGGTGGTCTGCTGAGTTCTCAGCTCCTACAGCAGGTAGAGGCCAGATTAGGTACTCTCAGGCCATCTGCTAAGGTCTCCTTGCCTAGCCTCTTTTGAATGCTGGTGTTATAAGGAAAAATTAACACTCCTGGCTTAACTTTTTTTAAATTTTTCATTTATTTTTATTTTATGTGTATGAGTGTTTTGCCTGCATGTATGTAAGTGCACCCATAACATGCAGTGCCTTTGGAGGCCAGAAGAGGGTATTGGATCCCTTTGGAGTTACTGATGGTTGTTAGCTGCCACATGGGTGCTGGGGACCCCAGTCAGGTCCTCTGTAAAAACAGCCTGTGTTTTAACCACTATACCATCTTTCTAGCCCCCAACTTGTTTTGTTTTGTTTTGTTTTGTTTTGTTTTGTTTTGGTCTTTTTTGAGGCACGGTCTCCCTTTAACCCTGGGTCATCTGGAACTTGCTATGTAGACCAGGCTGGCCTTGAACTCAGAGATCCACCTGCCTCTGCCTCCTGAGTGCTGGGACTAAAGGTGTGCGCCACCATGCCCAGCTTAAATTTATTTTTATGGGGCTGGAGAGATGGCTTAAGTTAAGGAGCACTGGCTGCTCTTGCAGAGGACCTGGGTTCAATTCTCAGCACCCACATGATGGCTAACAACCATCCATAACTCTAGTTCCAGGGGATGTGATGCCCTCTTCTGACCTCCATGTGCATTGCACAACATGGATGCACTTACACACATGCAGGCAATACACTCATACACATAAAATAAAAATAAATGCAATATATTAAATTTATTTTTATGTTGTGTATATGTGTAGGAGGGCAGGGTGGTGCTCATATGCCACAGGGTACATGTGTGGAGGTCAGAGGATAACTTGTAGGAGTTGGCTTCTCCCCTTCCTTCATGTGTTTTCCTGGGATCAAGCTCAGGTTGTCAGGCTTCATGGCAGGCAACTTTGTCTGTGGTGCTCTCCCTACTGCTTTTCTTTCTCTTTTTGAGGCAGGGTTTTACTGTCTAGCTAGGCTTCCAGTCCTCTAACCTCAGCCTCATGATTGCTGAGATCACATGATATCACAGAGGTGTGCCACCATGCTCAGCTGTATTTTTTCATGCCCATTGAAGTAAAGGGTGAATCCATTTATTCTCAGAAATCATTTCAAATCCTCTGCTTTATATTCCACATTACTGCCCACACATAACCCTGTTCTGTAACCTTGTCCTTTTTTCTACCTACACTATTGTTTGAGAATGTAGAGTCCATAAATAAAGAGTTTTAAATCTTGCCCTTTGCCCTTTTAGAATCATTCCAATGAGATGATTGGACATAAATACTTCCTTTTTAGTTAGTTAAAGTGATTAAGTAGAATTCCAAATTCAGTGGTTTATTCAGTCAGTATATCCTGATGATTTCTTTTTTGTTTATTTGACACAGAGTCTCATTGCATAACCCAGGCTGGCCTTGAATTTTTCACTTCTCTTGGCTTAGCCTCCTGAGTGCTAGAATCCCACATACCAACTGCTCTGCTTATTTTTCTTCAGTTTTAACTACTTTTGCTTTATTTGAGATGCTGCTCAGACTGGCCTCAGATTTGTAGTGCTGTTGTCTTAGCCTACCAAAAGTGCTAAAATTACAAGTCTCTGCTACCACATCCACCTCCTATTGAGCCCCTACCCTAGTTAGTTTTCTTATCTATACAAAGGAAACAAGGCCTGATCGAAAAAGAACAAGTGAGAAAAGAAAGGTACCTACTATTTAAGAGGAAAAGCATATCCTTTTGATTTGCTTTTACTTTACTTGGGATTTTAGCCTCCATTCTGCTTTGGTGTATGTATGTGCTGTCCTCATCCAGTTGTATAAAAGATCATTTCAATCCTTGTAGAAAGAGATCATGGCAAGTGTTTTTTAAAAATGCTCTGTTCCATGGTACTTTGATGGATGTGACCTACAAGTCTTTTGGGCCTATCTGAGGCTATCTTCACCTTTTCTGATGCCACATTGATGCACAAGTAGAATATAGATTGCTGCCATGTGCCACCTTCCCTCTGAAGCAGATGTTCCTCCTCAGTTTGCTGTGACTTTAAGAGCTGAGGTTGCTGGGGATTCTGTTGTTGACCATGACTGAGTTGAAGTGCAGGAAACAGAGTGAGCCCTGGTCTTCTACTTAAGTTATGATACTATTCCTAGATTAGTTTTCAGGTGAGTGAAATAGGCATATGATTCCTAAGAGGGGTCCAGTGATTATCCTGTTCCAGCAGGCAAGTGGATGTTAGGAAATTGAGGCTTGTTGACTGGAAGCTTCCAGTTTCATCTTAGAATTCACACTGCCACACCATATTATATTGAGGAAAGAACACTGAATTTTGAGTCACGCTTTCTGTTTTCAGTTAGTAGCTGATCCTGGACAAATTACGTGACCTTTTGGGGTTTGGGCTTTTTTATCTAGTTAAGTGAGGAAGTTGACAAGTTACAGTGTGGTGTTTGCAGGTTTAGTTAGGGACTCAGAATTTCCTCAGGCTTGGGAACACAAATGATTAAATGATGAAGCCAACCACTCATTTTTTACATTTGTGAAGTAATTAGGAGTTTGAACACTTAATGGATAGTTCTGATATTAAAGAAATTGTTTGGGACTAGAGAGATGACTCAGTGGTTAAGAGCACTGGCTGCTCTTACAGAGGACCTGGGTTCAGTTTCCAGCACCCAGGTGGCGACTAACACCTGCCCATAATTCCAGTTTCAGGGGATCTTTATGCCTTCTGGCTTCAGTGGGCTCTGTATGCACATGGTGCACGTTATATACCTGCAGGCAAAATGCTCATACACATAAAAGTAAATTACTTTTTAAATAAAAAAATGAAATTGTTTTGTTTTTGAGACATGGTCTCAGTACATAGCTCAGAATGGCCTCCATTTTTGCATTTTCCTTCCTCAGTCTCCCAGGTTCTGGGGTTACAGATTTTTGTCCTCGTCCCTGGTATTTGTTACCTTTTTATGTGCCATAATGGTATTTCATTTGTTTATTTGTTAGTTATAGTTTTGTGAGACAGGGTCTTAACTATATAGCCCTGGTTGGCCTGCCTCTGGCCCCTGAGTGCTGGGGTTAAAGGTATGATCTACTATGCCTGGCTCATTTGTTTTGAAAAAGTAGTCCTTTGGGGCTAGGGATGGTTAAGTGGCTTGCCTAGCATACATGAAACCCTAAATTTGATCCCCAGCAAATAAACTAGGCACAGTGTTGCACCCGTTATCCAAACATTTAGAAGGTAGAGTCAGGAGGATCAGTTCAGGGTCATCCTTGGCTAACCTGGGCTAAATAGGAATCCCCCCCCCCAAAAAAAAATAGTATAATGTGGATTGAATGGATTTTAAAGGATTATAATCACCAACTAACTTTTGTTAGATTTGTGAAAGCACTTAATTTTCTGTTTCTAGACTAAATAGTACTTACTACATATTTATGGTTCCCTGATGGGAATGAGCCATTGTGTCCTGACAACTGAGAGGCTGCAAATTGAAGGCTATGCTGTGTCCTGTATCCAAGGTTATGGGCCTCATTGCAGTTTAGCAGGAATTCCTGCCCAAGTGGGCTTACTCATAATCAGGACAGTGACTTCTTGTATGCATCCCTGCCCTAAGGCTGTGTAAGTAAGTGGGAGATGGGTCCTTGGAGGTTTTGTCAAACGCTTCTTCATTCTTCCCATTACTGTGTTCCTAGAGTTTCTAAAGTATGAATTTACAGTAGTAGTAGACTTGAACAAATGCCACCCTTCTGCCTTGCTTCCTTCTTCCTAAGCTACAGGCCTCAACAGTCTGGCATCCTTCACAGCAACAAAATACTAAGGCCTAAAAAATGATGTTGTCAGAACAGTCATGGAACTCTTCCTTCCATTCTGTCACCTTTAATGACCTATCTATTTCCCTGCAGTCCTTTCCTGTCCTCGTGCATGGTAAACACTAGGAGTTGAACTTTGTGGTTGAGTACAAATTGTACTTTCAGTACTTTATGTGGGCTCTCTCACTTAATCCTCACTGCAGTCCTGGGAAGTAGGTGCTGTCATCTGTATCTGACAAGTGAGGAAAAGGAAGCTCACAGAGTCTGTGAGCTAGTGAGTTTTTCCCTAAGGGCTAGCCAGGTGAGCCCATCTCCAGGGTCCATATTCCATTAAGCACATGGCAGAAGGGCTCCTGTCTTGTGTATCCAACTTCTTTCCCATTGGTCATTACTTTGGATTGAATTCTTAGGAGTGGGATAATTGGGTCTCAGTGAGACACAGGATGTTGTAACCTGGCCAAGCTTGTTTTGTTCATCCTTTTCTGTACAGCGCCTGCCTCCAGCACCCTGAAGATGCCAGCAGTATGTCGTGCTTACCAGGTTGGTGATGGCTGCCTCAAAGTGAGCCTATGTGGTCCTGCTGAGCTATCTTGAGTGTCTGAAGACATCCTTAAAGATAGTCATTTTCACCTCTCCACCAGCCCTCTTCAGGGTTGGGCCTCTGGGTCTCAAGAAACCATTAGGCCAGGTGATACCAGCAAGAGGAGCAGCATCCTCCAGGATCAACAAATTGGTGCGTGGAATCCCCAGCAGTGTGTGGATCTGATGTAATTTGACCCAAGTGTCAGTGTGGGACTCCTCACTGCAGTCTCACGAAGAAAACAGAGAACTGGGCTGTCGCCTTTTATCCCCTTTATCTGCCCTAGGATGTGGGGAGCAGCAGTCACCAGGTGAAAACTGGTCCATTTCTCTTCTTTGCCACGTTTTGTGCATTTCCTGTCTCCAGAGAGCCTATAAGTCCAAAATGACTGAAGATGAAGGATGGAGCAGCAAAGGACTTGGCTGGCAAGACATGCCTACAAACACCATGCTGCCTGTAGTTTAGGTTTGGGGTGCTGCATGGTGCTTGAGGGCCTAGCCATTAGCTAAAGATGGGAAGTGAAATTTGCCACACCAGAGGGAAAACTCCAACCCTTGAAAGTCTGGTGCATGGAGGTGAAGCAGGTTGACCAGCTACAGTGATGTCTTTGCCAGTATTGGAAGCTTGGGGCATTAGGATAGCAAAGGCTGTACTTCAGTGTTTGTTTCTTTTCCGCACAACTTTGTCTTTCTTCTTAGAAGTGGGAAGATCATTGGTAGTGACTCTGCTGTATTGGGTTCTGGTACTAGCCTGAACCTTTAGATCATGGTCCTTGGTGATGTGAACACTGAAGATGGAGCTAAGCCCCTCATTACTTACTCACATTTGGGTGCAAAGGTAGTTTGGAGTTTGGCTTTGAATTTGTGTTCTAGAGTAGGCTCCTTCCATACTTACAACATTTTCCAGTCAAGATGATAAATAAAGCAACTCAAGTGTGACATTGTTCACAGGGCCATCATATGGCCATACCAGGCCACCTGTGTTCAGTCCAGACCTCTCATCTGTATTCTGAGGGCAGCCAAGAGGAACACATAATGTTGAAGAGCCTCAAACAAGGCAGGTCAGGGACATGTGTGATATGAGAGGAGAGTGATCTCTAAACCCCATAATAACCTCCTTGACTGGAGCTGCTCTCAGTGATTCACAGATTGGGCTGTATTTTTTCATTTTCTGATTGATACATGCATTCTGAAATTCAGAAGGCATTCAGTAAATTTGAGAAGGTATCAAATCTGGAAGAGGTATCCAGTGCTTGGGGGTTTTGATAGCTTTACATGTCAGATTATAACCACCAGAAGAGCAGAGGATAGTAAGACTGGGCTCTATGAAGCTTTTAGGGATGATTTAGGTAGGCAGAGGGCCCTGAACAACACTGGAGAGGGGGCGGTTCCTGAAAGATACTGCCCCTTGTGTTCTGGGACCAAAGAAAAACTTGCATCCTGTTTTGGTGGCAAATGTATGTGCATCCCATGGGTGACTTCTGAGGCATGGGCCTTGAAGAACTCCAAAACTGAGAAAGGGGAGCTACAAGACACTAATCTTCACCTTGAGGGACTGGCCATTAAAAATGGCTGGAGTCTGTAGATCACATTCCGTAGGTCCCATCTCATACCAGACTGCTTGGAATGTAGAAGGAAGCTTTACCCTACCTGTCTTAGGACAGACCCGGAGGCTCTAACCTCAGAAGGTAATACTCTTATGGAGTATGTGGAAGGATCAGGAAGGCTTTGAATTCTTGGACAACAGGTATGTGTTAATGCCTGTGGAAGGTGTCCTGGCTTTGAGAAGAGGTCACTGAGGGATGAAGACCTTCTTTCCACTCTTGGTCTCATCACTAGAGCAATTTGGGGGTGGATGAATTTATAGAGTTGAGCCATTGTGATGGTTCTGATTCTACGTTAGCAAAAACAATTAAAAAACAAAACAGCTTTTGAGTTGCTTCAGCTTGTTTTCATTTGACTCTGCATGTTTGTTCTGGAATTGCCCATGTAGTGGGGAAAGACAACATAGATAGTGATGGTATCTGTGATCATCTTGCCGACGTCAGGTGCTGGGAAGCCTAGGCACTGAAATTCCTTTTATTAATATTATTTTTAAACAGGTTTCATGTAGTCTAGGCTGCCCTCAAATTCACTGTGTAGCTAAGCTGGCCTTGAACTCTTTATCTTCCTGCCTCTGTTTCCTAAATGGTGGGATTAGAGACATGTGCCACCACACCCAGCTATAATTCCCTCTTTATAGGTGAGGAAATAGGTACAGAAGTTGGTGGGGGTGGGGGTGGGGGTGGGGGCTGGAGAGATAACTCAGCAGTTAAAATCACTGGCTGCCCTTACAGAGGAGCTGGACTCGGTTCCTAGCACCCACGTGGCAGCTAACAGCTGTAACTCCAGGGGATCCAATGCATTGAATGACACGAGTACACTTACATATATACAGGCAATACACTCATACACATAAAAATAATTTTTTTTTTTTTGTCTTTTTGAGACAGGGTCTCCTGTAGCCCCAGCTGGCCTGGAACTCACTATATAGACCAGACTGGCCTTGAACTCACAGAGATCCACCTGCCTCTGCCTCCTGAGTACTGGGATTAAAGGTGTGTGCCACCACGCCCGGCTTCATCTCCTTTTTAAGAAATATTACACGTATGGGTGTTTTGCCTACATGTATGTACCCATGTCGTGCAGTATCCACAAAGGTCAGAAGAGGGTGTCAGATCCCCTGGAGCCTGAGTTACAGATGGTTGTTAGCTGCCATGTGAGTGCTGGGAATTGAACCCTGGTCCTCTGCAAGAGCAGCCAGTGCTCTTAACTGCTGAGCCATCTCCAGCCCTCCATCTCCTTTTCTAAGTATATGTTTTAATCAAGATTGGTAGTTGAAAGAAGCAGAAAGTTATTTGCAACCAAAAAAATCTCTGAGAATATTCTTTTAAATAGGAATTCTCTACCTAGCTTCCTCCTTGTTTTGAGACAGATTCTTGTTCTAACCCAGGTTGGCACTGAGCTCAAGCAGTCTTCCTGCCGTGGCTCCTGAGTGCTGAGATTATAGGTAGGAGCCCTTATATCTGACTTTAGAAGGCATTTTTGTACACAGGGAGCCTCAACGTTTGTTGCTTGCCTTGTGGCTTTGACTTCTGGGATCCATTTTGCTCCTATTGTCATAGGACTCCAGTAGATTCCTCTGTGGATTCCCCATCTTTTAGTTCAGATTCTAAAGAGAGAGAATCTGATTGACCTAGGCCTAGTTATAGCCTGCTTCTTACCCCTTCCCACCCCATCCAGTGATAGCATCCAGATCATGAAATCACAGTCATGACTGCCTTGTTGGAAGAGGGGTAGGAAAACCATAAACTACTGAGCTGTTTTGCTCTATGTGTGTGCTGAACTTACAGTGATAGTGTAGAGAGGCCCATGTACTCTCACCAAGTTTCTCAGTGCTTGCATCTCACTCAACTGTAGTCAATTAGAATGAGGAAACTGGGCTAAGGAGATGGCTCCATGGGTAAAAAGTCTAGCTGTGCTAGGCCAATGGCCTGAGTTTGAGCTCTGGAACCCAGATAAAAAGTTGGCTTGGTTGCATGCATCTGTCATCTTGGCATTCCTATGGAAAAATGGAGGCAGAAACCAGAATTGCCTGGAAGCTCATTGGCCAAATAACCTGGAGTATACAGTGCACCAGTAAAAACATGAGAGATGCTGCCTCAGCAAGGTAGAAGGCAAGACTTCTGACTTGCACACGTGTCATGGCATGCACACACAATTTTGGGGGCGGGGTCTTTTTGAGACAGGATCCTCCTGTAGCCCCAGCTGGCCTGGAACTTCCTGTAGAGACCAGGCTGGCCTCAGCCTCATAGAGAGCCACCTGCCTCTGCCTTAGTGCTGGGATTAAAGGTGTGTGTACCACACCTGGCCAAACATTACTTTTTTTTAATGAGGAAACTGCTCCTGGTATAATGCGTGTTCTCTCTCCATTCTTCAACAACAATCAGGGCAGAATTTTCCTCTTCACAGGGTTCTTATCCCACACCTTGACAAGCACTCCCCATCTTAACTGATAGTAACTACTGATCACTTCTATGATTCTGAAAATAGAATGATACATAAATAGAATCATACAGTATGTGACCTTTTGAGATTGTCCTTTCTTTGCTCTGTAATTCCCTTGATATTCAGACACCGTGTGTGTTTAATATAATTCATTCCCTTTATTGTTGAGTGGTATTAGTGTGGCTATGCCACAGGTTAACCATTTGCTTAGAAAGGGACATTATGATGTCTTCAGCTGCAGAGGGTGATTGTATGCTAGTTTTTGTGTAAATGTTTGCCTTCATTTCTCAGGGATAAATGCCTAGGAGTCTGTAACTGGGTCTTACAGTGAGTTTTCAGTTTTATAAGAAACTGTCTTGACTGTTTTCTAGAAGACTGTCATTTTACATTCCCAGCGGTACTACAGGAGAGCCCCACTGTCTCTGCCTTACCACCATTTGGAGTCTTTTATTTCGTCAATCTAGCAATGTATTCATGATAGCATATTTCGTCTTTCAGATTTGTTGAGGCTTATTTATGTCCAGTATGTGGTGATCTACTTTGCTCTATGTTCTGTGAACACTTGAATGTTTATTCTGTCCTTGTTGGATTTTGTAGATTTCAGTAAACTTCTGTTCACTGACAGTGTATCAAGTTCTTAAGTACGGTTGGTGATATCCTGTCATGTTCTTTGAGTTGTTAGTGGGTGGTGCTGAAAAACCCAGCTATAATCTCCTTTTCAGTTCTATCAGTTTTTATTTACATATTTTGCATTCCTGTTATTTGGTACATATGTATTTGGGATTCCTTTGTCTTTTTAGTGAAGTTACTCATTTATCATTATGTAATAGCCCTCTTTGTCTCTGGTGAATTTTTGTCCCGAAGTCTGTCTGATGTCTTTCTTTCCATTTCTGTGTTCTCTTTCACTCTCCCCACTCCTCCTCTTTCCTCCCTTAGTCCTTTTCTTGGGATGGAGCCCAGGGCCTGTACACCCTAAGCATGCAGTGTACTGCTGAGTTACACACAGTTCCTCTTGCTTTCTTTTGATTAGTGTTTATATACTTTTTCCATTCTTTACTTTTAACTTACCTATATCATTACCTGGGAAGTGAATGTCTAGTAGACTGACTGCACTTAACATATGATTTTTTCCTTGGACAATCTTTTAATTGATGACTTTAGACTGTTTTCGTTACATATAATTATGGATATGTTAGGCCTCACTCTGCCTTTTCAGTTTTGTTTTCTGTTGTGGTGCTGGTTTTCTTTTTCCTGCCATCGTGGGTTTCTTGAACATTTTTAGAATGCAGTTTGGATTTGCCCATGGTGGTTTTGAGTGTATCTCCTTATATAGTCTTTTCAGTGTGCACTCTGAGGTATTATATTACCAAACTTGTCTTATGGCGTGAAACCAAGCTCAGGGCCTTGTGCATGCTGCGCATGCACTGTGCCACCTCAGCCCTATGCCTTAACAATCTACTTAGACTCCACATTATCCTTTCCCACTTCCAGTATGAGTGTCTGTATACTTTGAGAACTATGCTAGATAATTTAGTTTGGCTTCAAATGTAATTCAGAAAACTCAATGTCTGTTATAGTTATCCATATGTTTACACTTTCCATTGTTCTTTCTTACTGATGTTCCAAGATTCCTTTTATCATTTCCCTTCTGTTCAGAGAACTTCATTTAGTACTTCCTCTAAAGGTCAACCAGCAGCACACTATTTTAATTTTCCTTTGTCTGGGAATGTCTGTTACTAGACTGATAGGAAAATTCTGGAAATGTGCCTGAAAGAAATGCCAGGAGCAGAATACGAATAGCCAAAGTGAAGCATGTCCAGCTGGTGACAGGTGACTATGCACACAGGCCCAAGCTCTATAACTTCAGTGCTTTAGTCTGTTTTGGAAGGCTGGCACAGGGACTCTGTTTTTTATGTTCGTTTTTGAAGTACAGTCTCTGTTGTCCACTGGCTTCATGTGCCATCGTGGCTCTTGTGACTCCATTTTGGAGTCTGATCACTTTCCCTTTTGTGTCATTTTGATGTTGGCATCAGTAAACTGTCTTTACATTCAAGCTTAGGGGTTTAGGGTTTTTTTTTTGGGGGGGGGGTAGTTCCTGATAGGTTCTTTGAGTGGTTTTGAGTGAATCTTCTAAAATCTGGATCTTGTTAAATCTTGTGTTTGCTCAGTCCTTGTCTGATCCTGCCCTGAGGATATGAGGGGCAGGTGGAGGTTTACTACCTCTGCTTGGCTTTCATGGGCCCTGGGAGGGGTAGAGACTACTCTTTATTCCTGGTGCAGGTGGGGTTTGGACTCCCCCTGGGACTTTGCAGATGCCAGTCTTCCTGGAATGGGAAGGTGCCTTGTCAGTTGTCCTCACATAACCTCTCTGGTACTGGGGGTGGGAGGTTATAGAGCCTTGTTGCTTTTGGTAATTGACAGATACCCCTTTCTCCCTCGGGCTTCAGTGATACCACTCTAACTCAGACAGTGGAATGCCTGTTGCAGCCAGGTTAGGAAGATGTCCAGGCTGACCACGGGTCCCTAATGCCAATGTGGGATGACAGCTGGAGCCCTCATTTATGTCTGTAAAGTTTTCATCAGGATGAAAGTTTTGGGTTTCCTCTTGCCTTCCTTCACAACTACTCCCAAGTAACTAGACATTAAGGAGACAGTCACCTCAAAAAAAGGCAACACACTGTACAAGAAAACTCTGAAGTGGAATTACTGGAAGAAATTACCAAGAATAGATACATGATGAATATGTATTTTATTTAAAGTTAGATATCAATAAAAATTAGGCATAGTGACATGCTATAATCCTAGCACTCAGGAGGATCACAAGTTCAAAACTAGCAAACTCAAAATTTTTAAAAAGGATTGGGAATATAGCTCAGTGGTAAAATACT